CCTCCTGAGAATGAGCCAACACACACACACACACACACACACACACACACACACCCCAAATAGAGAGAGAGAATAACTGGTTTCTGATTATATTCTTTGGACCCTGTCATCCAACTATACCTAAAGACAGATTTCCAGGCTTTTTTGTTTACACGAGCCCATAAAATCCCCTTTTTTATTTAAGTCACCACGAGTTGAGGTTTCAGTTACTTACAACCAAATCGCTAGCTGATTCACAGATCTGAGATCAAATGGGCTAGACTTTAGTACACACCCTTCCAGCTTCCTTCCCTGGGCCCTAAATGAAGGTCAGTCCAGACATACAAATACAGTTTATTGGGGTCCCGCCTCAGTAGGGACTGAGAATAACTCCCAAGCCATTGCTAGGCAGCATGAGCTCACCAAAGGCACAGTAAAGTCACTTCAGGATTCGGATGCTCATCTTTTGCTCAATGTTCATCTTCTCTAAGGACTGGAGAGAGAGGAATGCTGTCAAGAGGTTTGAAGCCCAGTTCCCTAGGCTTCCAACCTCCTTCTCCAGAGTTCTACCCACACCCAACAGTCCCACCATTCCCTGGGAACTCCTATCTTTCTTCCCTCCTCCTTTTGTACTTTGTTTCCCACGTCCAGGTGCCCAGGCCCTAAGGGTATTCTGACCTTGACAAACTCCAAGAAGGACACCGCCCCGTCCCCATCTTCATCAGCCTCCTGAACCGTGCGGTCAGTGATGCTCTCCAACTGCTCTTCTGTCACTTGTACCCCAACCATCAACCGGAGAACCTGGGAAGTGGGGGGGAGAAGCAGCCATAAAGAGGTGGCATGGCGCAAAGGCTGTTCATTTCTACCATCCCCAAAACTTTGCCCACTGCATCCAAAAAGTTACTATCAACTTTATAATCCACCTTTCTTCCAGTCACCCTATCTCAATCATTTCCCACCATAAAAAAACTCACAGCTATGGAGTCGATGATGACTCATAGCGACCCTAATGGGGCAGGGTAGAATTGCCCCTGTGAGTTTCTGAGATCATAACTCTTGTTTTTAAATCATTTTATTGGGGGCTAGTACAATTCTTATCACAATCCATACATACATCCATTGTGTCAGCACATTTGTGCATTTGTTGCCGTCATCATTCTCAAAACATTTTCTTTCTACTTGAGCCCTTGGTATCAGCTCCTCATTTTTCCCCTCCCTCATGA